AAACTCTCCTGGCTCTTTTCTTGCTAGCTGCTTCTGCTGTGCTGTATTTTTAAGGTGTCAGGTATCCAGGATATATTTTCAAGGTGAATTTTATTCCATTCTCATTTATGTTTATAAAGCAAGTCTGCAAAAGTGGTCCCGGTAGTGCTACCATGTGATAAAAAAGAATTGCTCACCCTCACTTACAGCGTAACACATGCATTCCTCAGCCAGGGAAGGTAAATGATAGCGTGTCCATTTTGCATAAGAGGAAACTGAGTCCCAGATATGTGAAGTGATTTACCCCACATCCAGTAGTCTGCACTGGCTCTCTGAATATAGAAGACCTCCCTGAAGGAAAGAGACCTTCTCCTGGCCATCAAGGAACAAAGAGGTGACAAAAAGCAAAGGGGAAGCTAGGGGAAGTCTGATCAGATAGCATCCCTTCAGGTAAAGGGTATCTGGGAAAGAGAGCAAAGTACTGTCCCAGGAACTATTCCACAGGGAGGCAAACATCACAGCCTCACCAGCAAACTCTGTCTATGCCTACAAACCTCCCAAGCATTACAGGCCAGATTTGTAAAGGTATTTAGATGCCTAAAATTGAAGAGAGGTGCCTAGGGGGATTTGCAAAAGGACCTAAGCACCTGACTCCCGTTGGATTTCAGTGGGATGTAGCCACCTTCTGAAGATCACACTAGGTACCTCCCTGCATCTTTTGGGTGAAAATATCTGCCAAACTCTGGACCTACATTTCAAGACCATTTGTGGGGCCAACAGTGACCTTTATCCTAAGAGAACCCCTTCCAGATTTCCTGTTCCTACTCACTTACCGTGGCAAAAGAAAAAAATTAGCATCTGATCCAGCTCAAGGATCATCACTCATGATCACAAGAACAAATCCATCAGAAGTCCTCAGTCTGTACTTATGAAGATACTAACAGAGAACAAGGACAAAAACCTCTTCCTTGAAAGACTGCAGCTTGAGCGAAGAGCCAGTATATGCCTAGCTTTTATTTTCCTTCAATAGGGGGTTTGATTCTGGTCTCACTGGGGTTTTTGCACCAGGATACTTGCACTGAGGTCAGAATCAGACCCAGAGCAGCTGAAGGCTGCCAAGTAAGTTCACACACTCATCTTCCGCTAGTAAGAGACAAAAATAGAGCTAATAATTACGGTGCAACGAGCACAGTGTCAGTTTGCACATCCGATGGGAATGGCGGGTTTCAAGTTCTGGAAAGAAATGCTGAAAATGAGCGAGCTGAGGAATAAGGTGATTTTCCCAATGCCCTCAGTGAGCTGGCAGCAGGGCTAAGAACAGACTCTCCTGATCAAACCCATGCAAGTGATGCACTTACTACCTTGCCTCCTTGCAGGGAGAGTTGTGGAGGAATTAATTAGCTAACTGGTACAATGAAGTAAAGTGTCACCAAAATGCTGATACAAGCAGTGGCCAGGAACAGAATTCAGAGCTTTGAACTCTTAGTCCTGTGGCCAGTCCACTACACCATGCTGCCCCGCCAGTAACCTATCATTATCACTTCCTTTGTATGCTGGTCCTGGAGTATTAACCATCTGATTTTCCTAAATTAGACTGCTGGCTGTGAACAGAGCTGTCAGAGGGAGTGAAGGGACAGTGCCCACCTATGCCAAAACATGACTCTCTTATCCTCCTGTGTGAGTTTTTCATGCTGTATGCCAACAAGAGGTTGAGGTTTGCAGGTTGCAACGCCCTTTATTTTGAGGGCTACAAGGCATAGTTGTGAAGGCACAAGTTTCAGTCTCACTCTGGACTCACCTGAAGGCTGCTCTCAGTTGACCCAGCTGTAAACGGGTGCTGGGTCATTTGGGCTGAGGAATCAAGGGAGGTCAGGCGGGATGTTTCACTTGTGTGCTGCTACCTATAGTACCCGGTGTGCCTTAACCATGCTGGCCAGATGGGCTGCTGGGCTCAGACTGACCTTTGACAGATTTTATTTTGGAGGTTTCCTCTGCTTTCAGGAGAGACGGTGTGCAACCACAGGTTCAGTTTTTTTAGGAAACACTCAACACCTGGGCTACAGAGTCTAGGACACAATGTTTTAGTCAGGAGGGTTGACCTTGGTTCAGAGTTGCTTGGTTCTGCTCAGGGCCCCTCCAGGGCTATGCTGGTTTTCCTGCCTTAAAAACCAAACTCCTTGACAACATCTGGGTCCATGAGCCCCTCCTCGAGGATCTGGAAGGTCTCCTCAGCATGTATCTCACATTTTTTTTTGCAGTATGGTGCCAGCCACACAGTAGCATGAGGAACTATGGGCCAATCTTTGAAGAGCAACCAGTCAACACGCTCTTTCCTGAAGGCTCAACAGAAGAGAAGATAACTTTGGCCTGTCGAGCAAGAGCCAGTCCTCCTGCCACATACAGGTGATGTTTCCTGCTCTCTCCAGTCTGCCCTGCATCTCTAGGATACCTAGGTACAGCAGCGATGGGCACTGATAAGCTCCCTAGGGAGACAGATCCTAGAATTACTTATCCAGCTGTAATGGGCTGGACTTCAAGCAGAAGAAGAGTGGCTTGAAACTGCCCCCTTGTTTTTCATGGAGTGTTTAGAAGGACTTCAGGTATTGATTACAGGATGCAGACTTCATGCTACTCAGCTGCTAGTTTGAATCCAGCCTGATCTCATCAGGTGTCACCATCTGAGAGCTGCTGGTTGCCTCTATGTAAAAGGAACTGGGGGCAGTTCTTTTAAAGGATGGTTGTTGGCCTTAAAGAAGTCCCCTCCCAGGCACTCTCAGCAGAGGGAAATACAGAGCTAAGCTCTCTTAAGCAGGAAGGGAGACTGAGCGACACACTGGGTCCTACCACCCTTCCAGGTCAGGATTGGTAGGTGACAGTGTGGAAGCTTGTCCCCTGCTTTCCATTTTTTAGGATTTTCTTTAAGAAATCTACCCATCGCCTTCCCCCAGCGCTGAAGTCATACACCAGCATTTTTGAAAGAACAGAATACCCAAGGAACCAGCTGCCTTTCCTGCCTGGCTGCAGGATGTCCCTGGCATGCCTCTGTAGTCCTGTAATGTTGGGGTAGCTCTAAAACAAACCCCAACACAGCCGGGCAAAACAAGTCACACAATGCTCCAATGAACAAAATTAATCATGTACATTATACTTGGGGAGGCAGGAACAAATATCAGACTCTCTGGGCCCCTCTCATCCCCTTGGGCTCCTGTTCTTTTCTCCCACACATACAACAGAGGCAGCTGAAAGATAATCTGCCTGCCCCTCTTGGCATCACCCTAGCATACCAAATATTGACTTCATCCAGCACTAGATACAACTGACCATTCAACCAGCCTCTTACAATGCACACCATTGTGTGCTGCCCTTCTGCCAGGGGCCAGTCAGCACCCCTTATCACTCGTGACGTGAACATGCAGCTGTGACCACTACCTCTCTGCCTTACACCTCTGTTCTTGGCAGGTGGAAGATGAACGGCACAGAGATAAAGATGGAACCAGACTCCCGTTACCGGCTGTTTGGGGGCGACCTAGTGATAAGCAACCCAGTCAAATCCAAGGATGCTGGGTCTTACCAGTGTGTGGCATCTAACCCAAGGGGCACAGTTGTCAGCAGAGAAGCCTACGTCCGCTTTGGCTGTAAGTCGCACGTTCATCTCCATAGCATAAAGGGAACACAACAGCTGCTGTGCTGGGGTAGATTTAACCTCCTCTGTTGAAACAGGAAGGTCAGGGAGAAGTTTCCGCAGCCCCTGCTTGTTAATGGGTTGGATGGGAAAGATTACCAGGCCACTATATTTCTACCACCCTGCCATTTCAAAATCCATCTATGCTGTCACAAAGGCAAAGAATATAAGAGAGCTATTGAAGCCCCCTAAAAGGCAGGCAGGAGTGATACAGGATGAGTACAAACCCCTTTCTTGAGCTGTCACTGCTGGAAATAACACGGGGCCCAATGTCATAAAATATTAGTTGGGAGATGGCACCACTGGGACATGTTGTGGGGAGCATGGTGAGAACTGAATGCGCTACCAGACAAGAAATGTTAGGAATGGGCTTTGAAGCACTGTCTACAAAGTCACTGGAAACCCAGTGTACTGCTACAGAGGTGAATGTCTGGAGCAGGGCTTGGAAGGAACAGCATCATTCCTCCACTCCTCCTGCTACGTTCATGCGAGGGGAACTAAAGACCACGGCTTCCTGTAGTCCTTGTTGGGGGTGAGTCTCCTCATTGCCCCTACCTAAGTGCAGTTTGCTCCGTTTAATTTTCTTGGCTATGATACGAAAAATGTTTCCCACAGGACCACAACGTCTCTCTCCCTTGGGATGCCCAGTTAAAATGCAACCCCTTTCCTGGCTGCTCCGGCCATTCACCCACCTGTTTCATTCTTAGTTTTGCAGGAATTCTCTACAGAGGAACGAGACCCTGTGAAGATCACCGAAGGTTGGGGAGCGATGTTTTCCTGCATCCCCCCTCCGCACTACCCAGGTAAGGTGCCAGTAGTGAGGATGCCCCAGAGCAGAGGGGATGTCAAGGGTCCTAATGGTCTGAGGGATTGACAGGGATGCATGAAGGGGTCTGTAAAAGAAATTAGCTCCTGACTTGTGGGTTTGGCCTCCTCGTGCAGAAGTCTAAGAGAGCTATTTTATCAAGAGCTGCTCTTGCATTCAAGTCCTGTTAATCAATGGTTGCGGCTTACAAATTAATATCATCTGTGGAGCAAGTGCATGGTTAGGCCAGTCTGGAAAGCAACCTGCTGCGGTAGTAGAGATTCCTCCTGCTTCATCCCCATCTCTTTCCTCTGCAGGTCTGTCATATCGATGGCTCCTGAATGAATTTCCCAATTTCATCCCGGGGGATGGAAGGCGCTTTGTCTCCCAGACAACAGGCAACCTTTACATTGCCAAGACGGAGGCATCAGACCTGGGCAACTACTCCTGCTTTGCTACTAGCCACATTGACTTCATCACAAAGAGCGTCTTCAGCAAGTTTGCCCGACTCAGCCTCGTTGCAGAGGGTCAGTGCTCTGGGGACGTGAACGGGAAGCTTGGGGCCAGCCAAATGTTGCTTTTCATGTAGGGAGAGGAGGCGGGCGTCCACGCTAAATATGAAAGGGGAGGGATGGACGGGTCACGGTACTGGAGATGTGAAGTGCAGCCTCTTGTTCCTCAATGCTTGATTCAGATCTTGCCCAGATCAGTAATAAGTCATAGTTACCATAATCAGTGACCGGCCAGAAATGAATGCAGTGAGTGTCAGTAAGGTTTGTAGGGTCTGCATCACGTTTGGCCTCGGCTGGCAGACTTAGAGAAACACCAAGGACTGAATGGGCATAGCAGTAGTATCCCATGAAACTTGAAGGGAGAAGTGCAGGAGGAAAGCGTTTGAAAGAGGCACCAGGAATCCAGTCTGCGCACATGTGGCTTGAACGTTAGGTAGAGCTGTGGAAAGGATTTTCTTAAGAATAGAGCAGTTTAGTTTTTACACAAATGGAAACATCTCACGCTACTACCCAGCATGTGTACAGGACCCGTGGTGGCAGCAGTCAGGTTAGTGAGAACCCACCGAGGAACTGAGTAGGACTAACAAGGAGACACTTCGGCACCTAAAAAAAGAGCAAGCACGCAGCATGGAAGGAGCCAAACCCACCGGGAAAGCTGGATTTTTAAACAAGAACCCGCACACACGCAGAAGTAAGAACTGATTCTGCATTATGTGTTGACCATGAGGGACAAAGGATGAAAAAAATGACAGATGAGCTGTTTGAAAGCTTTGCAGCTTATGAGAGAGCACAAAATGAATAAAAGTGGGTAAGATCCTGTTTTCAGGAAACAGGCCTGAAACACTGAAACAGCTGATAGGTAAGTTTGATGAGTACTGTAACCCTAGAAAGAATGAGACTGTAGAAAAAGACTCTTTTTCTCCCCAAAACCAAAGAACAAAGGTATATATTACAGAGCTGGGAACAGTGGAATTCAGATATAACTTTGGAGATACAAAACACTTGCTATTTAAGGACAGAATTGTTTGAGAGAGACGTGATTGCAGGGAGAGTTGGTTGACACAAATAGATCTAACCTTAGGGGACTTGATGATCCTCCGGGGTCCCTTCCAGCCCAAATGTCTGTGAAATCTATGAAATCACAATTACAAGGGTAGACAAGTTGCCCAAAAGGATCACAACAATGCTAGACACTGGCCCAGAAGGAGTGTATAGCTCCCACTGAAGAAACCTGGGAAGCCGCGCAGTGAAACAGAAACAAAGAACGTAGTCCGGCATAGGTAAGAGTGGAAAGCAACACAAAAGACAGAAAGAAAAGTAGTCATCATATGGAAAGCAGAGCTGCTGTTGCAGAAGGAGGTCTCATTGCTACGGCTACTGCAGGAAACAAAAACAAAAACCCAACAGGACACCCACGGATTGAGGACCTAATCCCGACCTTTAGTCTCCAATGAAGAAGAGACCAGCTGCGATGTGGCTTGAGCAGATGTAAGAAGTACATGCATCACAGAAGGAAGCTGTCATCTATTCAGCTGCCATACAAATGCAACCGTGCTGTTGGATCACCAACCACTTCAATTACAGCTAAACTGCAGAATCAGCTGCAATGTAATCTCAGAATTGCCGACAAGCAACTGGAGAAATGTGATCACGTGCTGGTCACATGCAAGAAAACTATTTGGAAACCAGTGTGCAAATTCAGGCTGGCAATCAGAAACCCATGAACAAGAGCAGTTTACAGCAAGTGCCGCACAGAATCACCAGAAAATCAAAAATGAATCAAACCAACAGTGGAAATGAGGGCACATAAAGGAATGGGACAAGCATGGAAAATCAGAAAGGTTGAAACAAAATGAGTTTCAATTAGCGAGGGACATAAAAGGAAACAAGAAAACATTCCATGCTACATTAGAGTAAGAGGAAAACAAGGGGAAGCATGGGTGCATCGTTGTTAGTGGATGATACAGAGATGGCTAAAACGTTGCATCCCTTCTGTGCTTCAGCCTGCGCAAAAATGTTAGGTTGTGACCATGTACATAACTACACTGACTTTAATGAGACCACAGAAGTATAGGCCAGAGTGTGAGAACGACAGATTAAGGAACAGTTAAGATAACATAGATGTGTTGAAGTCAGAAGGGTTTGGTGAGATTCACCCAAGAGTTTTAAAGGAACTATCCAAAATAATCGTGGAACTATTAGCAGCTATCTCTGAGAGCCTGAATAGGACAGGAGAGATCCCAAGGGGCTAAGAGATGCACAAATACATAACTTACTTTTTACGAAGGAAAAAGGAAGACCCGGCGAATTACAGATCAGTCAACTTCACTAGGATCCCCAGAAAGATGCTGGACAAATTACTAATCAGTCAGTTTGCAAATACTGAGAAGATAATATGACGAGTAAAAAAAACAGCTAACGTGACATTTTGTCATGACCACATCATGTCAAACCTGTCTACTTTCCTTTTCTGATAAATTACTGACCAAGTGGATAAAGAGGAAGAAGTACATATGAAATACTTTTGAGTTCAATAACACTTTTGATACTATCTCATATATTATTCTCATAAACAGGCTAAGGAAGTTGGGTCTAGATGTGATCACCATATTCAGTGACTCTAGGAATATTCTCTTTTGGGCATCAAGGCAGGGCAAACCCTGGTTTTGACTTCAGTTCCCCATCAGTGAGAGAGAGGAGGAGGAACAGGCACTGTGGAAGTGAATGCTGCCAAACTGAGTTACAGCCACTTTCACTCTAAATAAGCGCGTCTGCTCAGAGGTTTAATGTATTTTAATTAATCCTGTTTCAGGTCTCACCTTTAGTTAATTCAGATTAATTTTCCTTTGTGTCCTTGGGTAGCTAAGTCATGGGTAAAGAACCAGCTTAATTTTACTTGCGTGGAGGTCTCTCACCTTATTATCCAGCCTGAGGCACACAAAACAATGACAGCTGAGATCCATTTTGATTTCCTCTCTGCAGTCCCCGTGTTTGGTGCGCCTTGTCGACTCCATCCCTAACAAACCTAAGAATCTTGCAGAGGCCGAATGGGTTTGGGCTGTGAGCAGACTTCTCGTGGGTCACACAGGATTGCTGCCTGCTCCTGTGCTAAAAGGAGTACAAGGCTTACTTCTTTCTCAATCCCGTGCATCCAGCTGCTACCCTAATAGCAGGGAGGAGGAGATGGAGCCAAGACTCTGCACCTGTCCGTAGAGCTGGCAAGCTGCACATAGGGGAATTAGCTGAAGTCTGCTATCAAACAGCCTGACAGCATGGCACAACCTGAGTCTCCAAAACACAGCAGGAGAATAAATGAGAGGCATAAACAAGAAGTAAAAAGTAAGTTGGAAATTAGATGGAAGGTCAATGAGGAGGAAGAGATACCAAGAGGCAGAGGAGGAGGTGGTTCTCTGACCACGAATGGGGAGACTGTGTTGAGTTAGAGAGCAGAAGCATCCCTGAGGCTGGTGAGAGCAAATCCATGGAGAGCTTGAAAATCTAGGAGGACATCTTTAGGCTAGATCCTGAACTGGACATGGGCTGGAAACACTGCAGAATCCTGTACGTGGTGTTCCAGTGACTGCACTGTCACTCCCATGAGGCACTGGTACACAGCTATTACAGAAACAAGGTCTTTGGCTCAGGATTCAGTGGCTGCATCTACACAAGACGCTACTGCATGGGAGCAACAGAGCATAAGGGTTTCAGAAGGTGCACCTATTGGTCTCCGAGCAGAGCATAAGGGTTTCTTCATGACCTAAAAAGCTTCCACCGCTGGAACCAACACTTCTGAGCAATAACCCCTCTCTCTGTGCAGTCAATGGGTGCACGAGCTGTCTCCCTGTTTGTAACAGCAAAGGGCTGCCTGGCAGGGAGCACTCTGCCAGGGCTCCAGGATTCTTGGACCTTCTTTCCATGAACAGAGAGAGCCCAAATTTGGTGACCTGCCAGGCCTGCTGCAAAAAATGATAGGGCTTTCTTCTTTAGGCTATATACACATCACACAGCAATGAAAGTGCAGCAGGTCTCTGCCAGTATCAGGCTAACTGAGTTCCTATTAGAATAATTGCATTTATGCTGCTGGAATTTCAGTCTTGTGCTGTTAATGAATGAGTCTGGGCCTTGGATAGGTGGCCTTGCATCACTTGATGTCTAAAGGTATACCATGAGTCCTGTCTCCCAGCTGGGAGACTGAGGCACAGAGAAGCAAAGCACTTTGCAGTGAGTCTCTGGCAAAACCAGGAACAGAGCCCAGGGCTGTGTTCAAATCCACACGCAAAGCTGGCACTACCTGCAGTTGGTTGCTGGAAAGACACGCAGCAGCTGTTGTCTCTGTGACTTAAACATGTGCTTTCACTCCTGAATTCTTGCGCAGCCTTTTTCTTTAGTGTCTTGTGTGTGCAGTTTCAAAGCCCTGGACCCCCCCTCAACCCTGGTTTCCTTTCTGCAGATGCCAGACAGTACGCGCCCAGCATTAAAGCCAAGTTTCCTGCTGACACCTACGCGCTGGCTGGGCAGGCGGTGACTTTGGAGTGCTTTGCCTTTGGAAAGTGAGTCTACTCAGTCTGGTTCATTCAGCAGCAACATTAAAGGGGTCTATGATGCAGTGACCATCACAGTGATAGACAGAAAGAGGAGACTCCCATGACACCATCCACCTGTCTTTCCTTTCCTGTTGAGGAATATGGGGCACAAGGGGTGGGTCAAGTCCTCATGTCAAGTGACAGCCCTTTGTCCTGAAAATCAGGGGCTTGTGACTTTGAATCCTAGGCTGGGACTGCGTGTGGCAGGGGTGGCTGCAAGGAGCAATTGGCTTGCACTGCACTGCACAATATTGTCTGAGGTACGCTATAGAAAACCCTGCAGTTTCATAGTTTCTAGGGTCGGAAGGGACCTGAGCAGATCATCTAGTCCGACCCCCTGCCATGGCAGGAAAGAGTACAGGGGTCAAACGACCCCAGCAAGGTGTTCATCCAGCCTCCTCTTAAAAACCCCCAGGGTGGGAGCCTGCACCACCTCACTTGGAAGCTGGTTCCAGACCCTAGCCGCCCTGACCGTGAA